CATCAACATTCTTATGGGCATTTACAAGGCTATCTTCTGGCAGTGGTAATGAATTTGTGCTGAATTACCTGTTCACTTGTATTCTAACCAGGTCCCTTTTTGACCAACTCAAAATACCATTCCTGGGTTAGAGGTACAATATGTGACCTCAGAACTATGTTTGTTTATCTGTGAAAAGTTAGCCACCCTATGATCTTAATACTCAGATCTTTCTAAACAATTTAAACAACCTAAACAATGCACGAATAACAACATAGTCAACAACCCAATGTAAATAAAAGAGGCTATTGTTTCCCACAGGCTTGCTAACACTCAACATTCCTGTTTTCATCTATATAGTAGCTGTACCTTTTTCTGGTGGTCAAGAACAAATTCTAAAAAACTTTTCAGATAGAAAACAATTAAGCGAAATGAGTAAAAGGAATTCTGATGATTATCTGCTTCAAAGCTAAAGATAGAAATCCATTCAATAAGAAATACGTTATAAAAAAATGTTTCCTTTGGGCACAATAGTATCTTTAGTTCCCTCAATTAGAAAAAAAAAGTTCACTGTGGTTTTCAGAGAAAAAGTATACCACATACATCTAAAAGGTGGTAAGGTAATCAGTGAATTTAATGTTTTCTCTTAGTTACTTGATTTTACCCATTTTCCAGCCTTTTTCATTCTAAGACTTCTTTAATAAATTTTGGCTTCATTTCTCCACACAATAAAAATTTAAACAATTATTAATAAACTCCACAGAGAAGATACAACAAAGGGACTTAGCTAACTTCATCACCTATCCCAAATTTTCACTGAACAGCTTTAAAATAGAAGAGTATTTAAAATTAGCTACAAATAATGTAAGTTCAATTAGTAAAGGATCCACACTATCTGAAAACATAAGTTTTTAATCACCTAATGATCACACTAACACCATCATATTCTCACAGGACATCTATTTTTTTTACTACTTTTTGCATTTTAAATATGTTTGATAAATTAGAAAAAAAAAGAGCCACAATTGAGAAGAAATGACCTAAAACAGCCTAGATTTTAAGAGCCTTTATAACATGTAGATCACTTAAGATAATAATAGTACTATACCTTTGGCAGCACTGGTGAAAAGAAATTCTGTTCCAATGTCAAGTGGTTCATATGAGGTAAAAACATTTCTACAAGAACTTTCAGAATTTCTATAAAGCAAAAGAGTAACATATTTTGTGGGAAAATTAAGTCATGTCACCCAACAAAGATCATTGCCCTTTTTCAAACGTGAGAATGTGTAAGTACTAGCAATCAAAAGTTTTGAACAGTTTCAAAATGCCCTGTTCTACATAGAGAATTAAGTATTTGAAAGAGTAGCAAAAAAAAAAGAAACAAACAAACAAAAAAGAAACAACTTATATGTCCAGCAATTGAGGACCAGTTAATGCTTACAGGTACATCTACTAAATAGGACCTGCTATTGTTAAAATGTTTATTAGAGATTATTTAAAACCATGAAAAAATGTTCACAATACTTTAAGTTTAAATATAAAAGTTTCCAAAGCAGTATAATAGCAATTTTAATATATATAAATATGTATATACAAAGAAAAATAGATAGGCTAGCAGGAATATATAAAACTGAGATGAGAATGTTCTATATCACAATCTTAACCATTTCAGATAAATAAATGTTTCATTATTTTTCGTTTTTCTGCATGTTTCAAATCTTCCACAATGAATATGTATAACTCCTATACTCAGGATAAAAAATAATTTTTTAAAAAATAGACCCTAACAGGCAACGTAGATTCAAAATTACAACACATATTCTGCAACCAAGTGAAATGTAAATAGAATAAGCTAGCTCAAAATATGAGTAAACTGTGGAGTCTAGTCTTAACACTCTACTTCTCCTAACTAAATAAGTAAATCACATCAAGTAAGATTAATGAAGATGAGAAATTCAACTTTTTCTAAATGATAAATTTGTCACAACCTAAAGAAACCGCTTTTTGTAACTTAGAAAGTATTTTGTAATTGACACTAAACATGTTCAAGGCTGAAGGTTAACGTAAAATCTGTTTTATACAGGTCTAACCATTTTAACTAAGGTTTAAAATTTACAATGTGCTTATACATACATTATCAAACAGAACACTTCTGGTATGTATCCAAAATAGAATTTAAAACTTTAAGTACCCATAATTGGAAGGAATTTGGTCATTTTAAGTAACTGACGGTTACAGAGGCTGTAACACTACAATAAGAATACATTTGAAGGGAATATGAACTTGTATTGATATGTGGGACTCAGAGCTTAACGATGTCAAAGTAAATCATAGAATTACACTAATTTTACTTACGAATATGCTCCATCCAACTGTCAGAATGCCGATACATAGAGTAAAAGAACTAAGGAAGATAGTAGTACCACAGTAATAGGATATTCACTACTGAGAATAAATTTAAAGCTATGTCACCGATATTTCAAACAGCGGCAGGGTCACCCAGGGTGGACAGGTTTCAGCGGAGCTTCCAGACTAAGAGCGATGAGGAAGAAGGACCTGGGCACCCACTTTTGAAAAAACTGGCCGTGAAGACCCTATGAACAGCCGTGGAGCATCATCCCATAAAGGGCCGGAAGGTGAGAGGATGACACAAAAAAACTGGGCAGGGTTCTGCTCTGCTGCACACAGGCTCACTGGGAGTCAGAATTGACTGGACAGCGCTAACAAGAGTTATGCAGACATACACGTAGAGGCTGAAAAACAGTATGTAAAATGCAAGACATGAAGATAATTATATTTGGGTGATAAGATTGTAGATTTACTGAAAACTTTTCTTTCATTTGTTGAAAATAGTGAAGATAAAATACAAACAAAAGCTGAAAAAAAATTGTCTAATGAGACTTCAGTCATTTTTAAAACATGACAATATTTTTAGCCCTTCACTGACTAAGTACTATGTTCCAGGCACTACTCTAGGTGCTGGGGATAATCCAGTTAAAACAAAATTTCTGCCTTTATGAACTTTACAGTGTAGTGAGGATAACCAAAAAGACACAAAGTAAACACACTAATTTCTGTTAATGATTCAGTCTCTTTAAAAAAAAATGAACAGGGCAATGTGACAAAAGTGTTACAGACTGGGTTTGGGGAACTACCTAAATTGCAGACTGGGTTTTGGGGAACTACCTAAGACTGAGGGCTCTGATTGAGGGCAGAAGAGGTGACATTTGAGCTGTAGGTGTAGATTTGTGGATGGGGGATTCAAGACACAGTTTGAAGTCAGAAACAATAAACTTAGCGACTGGATGTTAGAGAGAAGATTCAAAGTCTTGGCTTGTGAAACCATTTATTTAGATACAGAAAAGCAGGGCACGTTTGGATTCTTTTGAATGTTAAGTTTGAGACTCAAAACCAGGTGGGAATGCTGACTTTCAATTACTGAAATCCCCCTATAAGCTTGAGAGGATAAAGAGGACCTATGTTTCTTATCTTTGTTCCCCCAAAGCCTAAGACCCTGCCGGGTACAAATCAAGGACCTAGCAAATGTTTCTGAGTAGGAGGATGGCTATTTGTTTCCCAAGTCAAAATTCTTGAGGACAGCAATTCCGTATCCACACAACGACTAAGAAACGGCTTTGGTACCTAAGCCGGATTTTGCTAATGCCTAGGTGAATGACTTCTATGTGATGGTAGCATTTATATTTGGCTTTAGCTGTAAATAATTATTTGTGCAGTGTTGCGACTCTCTCAAGTGAAAGTCATTTTTTCTTTTGGGTGTAGTTTTACTTTAAAGGTGAGCTCAAAAATGTAAAAAAAAGCAAAAAACCTTTTAACATGATGGGCTAGGACTCCTAGCACACCTAACAATCACAAAGGCATGAGACTACTAAAAACGGTCTGCACCTGGACAACGAAGGCATTAAGTCATTCAAACCCAGCAGACGAGAACCAATTACAAAAGGAAGCAACAACTTCTAACCAGCAACGACCGAAAAGAGGTCCGAAAGGGGGTGGGGAAGAACATTTTTAGTTCTTTACTACCCATCTTTTACAGACTTGGCATCATGGTAGAACTACGTCCTTTAATTCTCACAATACTGAGGGGAAGGTATTCATATTCACCACCCATTTCAGAGACGGTAGGAACTCACTCTCTCTCTCTCTCTCTACCTCATGCAGCTATTAAGAGCCAGAGCTCGGCTGCCTTACACCTCAGGTCTGAGTCTTGGCCTCCCCGACACCCCCACGCAAACGTATCTACACTGAATTGCACGTAAGGAGTACAGAAACGCTCAAAGGCGCAGGGGAACGGGCGAAAACGCCACACCCACTGCCAAAACCACGGGGCAGAACACCTCCGCGAGCCCTTCCAAAGCCAGGCATGCCTTCGGCAGGCGCCCACGGGCCTCGCGCGCCCTGCATCCCCTCGCTTATTCAGCTCGCTCATCAACAAAGAAAGGGGAGGGCTCAGGCCGCAAAAACAAAACACGGCCCAGCCGCCGGGGTGAGGAGGCCCAGCAGCACGGTTCGAGACCCGTCCCACAGCCCTCTCTAGGTGGAAGTGACAATGAAGGATATGAGGAGCCGGGGCACCATGGACGGCAGTTCCCGGCGGCATAGTTCCTCCGGCCAGCTACTTAATTCCTCCAGGGGAACCACGCTCGCTGGCGCTCCGCGCTCCTGCGACATGCTTTCGCCAACAGCACAGCTTCAAGACAGCCCGCCACCGCCAGGACCGGAAACTCCGTCCCGGCAGGCCTTGCGAGCTCTCTGCCGGCACCGGAACCATAGAGAGGAAGCCGGCTGCGATCCTTGGTGCGCCCAGGCCCCAAGAGGCTGGAGAGAAAGCCGGGTTTACCTAGCCCGCGGAGGACTGGACTCACTGGTGCGCGTTTTCCGTCTGCCGCGTCCGGCGAGAAGCGGAGTTTCGCAGCGCGGTGAGCTGGGAACATACCTGGCTGCGAGCATCCCCAGGTCTGGATCGCTGTAAACGTTGCTTTGAGGCCCTTTGGGAGGTGAGGGCTGGAAGTCCCTAGATTTGCTACCCTGCGTCCCCTGGGGTCCTCTCTGGCGTCGGGATTGACCTGAGACCGGCAGCCGGAAATGACTCCAAGCCCGGTGGTGCGGTGGGGGTAGAAAGTGGCACGTTCTTACCTGCTTAACTGCGTGACCCTTGTGTGATGGGAATAAAAGCCCCACCTGCCAGAGTTGTGCGTATTGAAGCAGATGGTGTGTATTAAGTGTCTAGCACGGTAGGTAGAAGATAGAAGTAATGTTGCTTTCGTGTTCTCTGGGCCTCTCCAGACAGTTCATTGCCCTTATTGTGTTTACTCTACCGCCAAACTAATCTTTACTAATTATCCAAAATTACCCTACTCCCATACACTTAGGACTGCTGGTCTCCACTAAATGTTTGCAGTGAGGTCATTTGGATGAATTTACACACACCAGAGCATACCTATGTGTTACGTCACCAGGTTTGTCCCCCCCCCCCCCCCACCGCGGCCACCCTGAAAGGCTGACACCAAGACGACAAGATTGCAGCAGAGAGAGGGTGTTAACCACAAGGCATCCATGGGTGGAAGTGAGAGAATGAGTCTCAAATCCACTTCCCTGAAAACCCAGGGATATTTATGGGGTAGGGGAGCAAGGTGGTCTGAAATGTGGAGAGAGGTGATTGGAGGTGAGGAGAGGTGAGGCAATTGATGATCTGTGCAAGTGTAGTCAGACTTCATGCCTCTTCACAGGACACATGTTCACAAAATGGCAGCTTGAACGTGATTTGAGGGTGGAGTTTTTAGCCTCTTGACATCAGAAGTTCGTTTATTATGCATCTGTGTGGGCCCAGTTGATGAGCTGGTGGTCTCAACCGGCCTGACGTGGACAAAGGGTTCTAATTCCTGCAAAACATCTCAATCAGCCATTACCATGGTGACCCAGGCTCTAGGGAGATGTTATTTGTAGGAAACTAGTGGGAGTCAGATAGCATACTGCCTAAACAGCACAATTAACAATGGGTGGGAGAAGGAAAAAAAGCTGTAATCAGTAATGGCAAAAAGGAAAAAAACTGTAGTTATTAGCTACTTGATCATCAGCGGCTAACTGTTTGCTGGTTTCAATCCCTCTTGTTCTTTGGGCATGCCTCATTCTTGAGATATTTGGGGCAATAACCAATCTAGCTACTTCCTGCTGAATTGGGCATAGATCTGAGTTAGAGGAATGAAACTGTTTAGCACTCATTTGGAAATATTCTCTTGTTCCTGGCTTCAGGTTGACATTTTGTATTATTAGAATTTTTGTACCTTGATCAACAGTTTTGGAACAACATTTAAAAGCACATTTTATAATCAAGCATCCAACCAGAAGGATAAGAAGTATAGACGAGCCAAATTTTACCAGTCCCTGAAAAATGGACCTAATCCCAGTGGGGCCTCCATTTGATTTCCAGGTGGGGGCAGACATCTGGTCTTAGTTCCTGGTAGTCTTTTGTTTTAGTAGATATGCATCAGAGACCAGAAATGTGCTATACCCTGATCTTTCAGTTGTCATAGATGATGGCTATCAGCACAGACTTTCTGCCTGGAGGTCATCACATTCCTAAGGAACTCAAAAGAACAAAGTTATCAACTTATAGCAGCTGGGAGGGGCTGTAAAATCTACAGAGCATGTCTGGGTTAGTTAATCAGAGGTCATTCAAAGTTACAATATGATTCCTTTCCTACAGTGTGGCTTCCCTTATGTCAACCTTGTGTTGAGCCAATATCAGTCCCCCCCATTTTGTTGTTCATCCTTCAATCTTGAGGGATATCCTGTTGATGAGGGGCATAGGTTGTTCCATCTCACTGAACCAGTCTCTTAGTAAGATGGTGATATAGGTGGGCTCCCAAAATTAGGCCTATGTTGGGTAAGCAAGAGCTAGGATTTAATAAGAATTATTTCCAGAGAGACAAAAGGAAAAGGTTAATGGTGGGAGCAAATTATAAACCTTTCTGAGCCCAGGTGGGAGCCAGTCAAAAAAGATTTCTAGGTGTCAGAGTTGAAGCATCTTTTGCTTCAACTGTCTCTGATGATGTCATCAGGTATTCAAGTATCTTCCTGAGTAGCTCACACAGCAGCAGACATGAATCTCTCTTAAGTTTATATCAAGTTGTCCAACTTCAGTTTGCAAGGCTTCAGGAAAAATGGTAGGTTCAGTTTTCAGTGATTCCAAATGAAAATGATGGAAAAAATTTAAAACATTAGTTTGGAGATTTGTGGCCAGATATTTCAGGAGACTGGAAGAATTCAGGATCCAGTCCAATTAACAGATATAAAACAAAAATCTCAAAGACAATTATCAGAACTAGAACCTAATATCCAGGAATGTGTACTATAGTGTCTATTGAAACATAATTTTTCTCTCTAAAATCACCCTCATTTTTATAAAAGATAGCCAAATTAAGGCTAACTGGTTTTCAAAATAAGTTTAGTTTCAATAAACCTAACCTATTTATTTACATAAGTACAGCAAGAATAGCCATTGATCATATAGGCTCTTTTAAATCTGCTTTGCTGGAACCGTTTATAAGGAATCTCAGATTGAACTTTAATAGCCTCTTGAGGCCAGGAAAGCCAATCCAAGGATTTGTCATCAGGCTTTGCCTGAAATACCTTAGATTTGGATGGATTCCTCTCTTCTCTTGAGGTTCCCCAAAATATTGACATTCCTTGCACCTGCCTGATAAGTGAGCTTCCTTACTTACCCAGTATGGTTGCCAGGAATGCTGTAAACAACGTACCAGGCCAATATTTCCAAGTGGCTTTATTCCAGGAAGTCAACCTTTATTCCTCAAAAGTTGTCTTGTCATATCTGAGTCTGTGTGTTTCTCTCAAATATGATGTTCCAGTCAAAGACTTGGTATTATAACCAGTGTTTCCAATTGTGTCTTGTTATAAGGAAAACAGATTCTTATTGAACTTACGCAAATAACTATATTGCCATGAAAACAATACTCACTCATTAAGAGTTTCCAAATCCTGGAGGGATCAGGTAGGGAGAAAAATAAATAAATGTATCAGTTCTGCTTACAAAGGTATAATTTACCAAATTGCTATAAGTCATAGTTAGCATGAGAGAAAAGAAAAGATTTCCTTAAATCTGGAAAACAAAACAAAACGTCAAAAAAATCAGCAATATTTCAAATGAAAAGTCATGTAAATTATAATTATCCTCATCAGTTCATTCAGTCCTGTGTAATTGATTCTTGATCTTAATCTTCTGTCAGCAGTTTCATGAAGTCATCAGTTTCTCTGTTAGAGTTCTGTCATTTCTTACCCAGTTCAGTTTTATGATCTGAAAGCGTATCAGAAACCTGTAGTCTAGAGTAAGTGTCAGAGTCCTTTCCATGAATCTCTCTGAAGATGAAACATATTTTGCTAAAGCATCAGAGTAAAACAGCCACTATCTGAAAGTGACAAAAGACTCAAAAGGGCAATTGGCAAAGAAACTTGGCTATTTCTGTGACATACAATGCTTCAGGATAACTAGAATTATGGCTGACAACCAGGACAGAACAGAATTTTAGGAATGTTACATAATTTTTAAAACATTTATATCAATAACATTTACCCACATAATACCACCTAAGTACGTTTATCATCATTTATTTGACAATGCTTCCCATGTAATTTAACATACCAAATAAGCCTAATTAATTTAGTATTTTTATAGAAAGAGAAATAATGAGTTTCTTTGAGTAGTCCCAGGGGTCCTCTAAAAATCCTCAAAGAAAAATTTTTCCTTTATGTTAAAAGAAAGACTTCATTTAGGATTTGAATTTGTGGGTAAGCTTGTCAGAAATATCAAAAGAGTTAAAAAAACACTGTCAAATAGGAAACAATGCTCACTGTGAACCAATGCTCAGTTATCCATTCAATCAGTGACAACAGAAACAGTCAAGGGCAAACAGAGTTAAAACAGTCAGAAAACCTTAATAAAGAGACCTCATTGTTTTTGAACATAGGAAATTATTTTAACAAAACATAGATCTTCTGTCTTTTAGGTAAACTTACTCAAGGTAAATAAAAACCTTTTAAAACCTCTTTATCAAGAGCACACTAAAAGTCCAGGAAAATTATCCTTTTAAGAGAGAGAGAACCAAATTTTAATTTTTGCACCAGCTTATTTTTGACACTAAAACTCATCTGCTTAATTAGATTTAATTCAATCTTAACCAACTTGACCATGCATAAAACTCTTTGTAGGATTCCTCTTCCACAAAGCTTGCTTAACTTTCTTTTTTACATTCAGAATTTGTCCCATGCTTGCTTTCTTCCCTTCTAGTACTTTAGGACAAATTTATCTTTCTTAACAAAACAAACAAAAATATTTCCATTCCTTATACCTTCTTTACTGAAAACATACATTTACTTTCCTTGAATACAAAGATATTCTCCTTATTAATTTTTAGCAGCTTTAATTACACATATTAATTAGAATTTTTAACCCTTATAGACCTTAAAGCAATTAGGAACTTTCTTTTACACTAGCATTCTGTGGCTTGGCAAGTTTATAAACACTTTTTATAAAATTTCTGGAAACATGCTACTTCATAGTACAAGTTTTAATAAAATACAAGACGTTTACTAATAGTACCAAACATCTTTTAGTTTGTAATAAGAAGCCAAAAGTAGATAAACCTAGACATGCCTAATAATAATGTTTTAGTATTTTATCTTATTTGAAAAATGACCCAGATATTCAGTGAGTATTTTTTATCATTCAATTTTACTTAGCAAAACTTCAAAGTTGCAAGTTACCAGAGAGATTATGGAAGTTATCTTAAATATACGTGCCATAACACACAATTATTTTGAAAAGTTCACCCAACACTTTCATCTTTTTCACATCTATTTAGTTTACTCCCAATAATTATTTAGATTGCCTACAAAACTTCATCAGACTTTTGGCAAAATTAGCCTTCATTTTAAGTTATTATTTTTGTTAACCAGTTTTGTAATAGAAATAACATCAGCTTATTTGACCAATAAATGTAGAATGAAGGCTGCATGTCTCCATCACATCCAGTCCTGATAACTTTGAGGACATGTCCATTTTAATCAGACCAACAAGCTTAAATAAGCTTTCACTTATCAAAGATTAATTTCATCATGTTAACTCGAATGACATTTGAGTTAGTTTCTATTACATTTAGAATTTATGTAAGCACTTACTATTAGCCAATTGAATAGAGCTCTTTAGAAATTATATCATCTGGAGGTAAAATAGCACACATACATAACATACATATAGACACACATGCACAGAGTCTCCACACCTATTGTTTGAAAATTCCTGCTGTGAATCAGGTACAATGATATGCTAGTTATGAATCCAAGATGGTCTGAAACGTGGAGAGAGGTGGTTGGAGGTGAGGAGAGGTGAGGTTTGATGATCTGTGCAAGCTTAGTCAGACTCCATGCCTCTTCATAGGACCCATGTTCACAAAATGGTGGCATTAGCATGATCTGAGGGTGGAGTTTTTAGCCTCTTGACATCAAAAGGTTGCTCATCGGGCATCTCTGTGGGCCCAGTTGATGAGTTGGTGGTCCCAACTGACCTGAAGTGGACAAGGAGTTCTAATTCCTGATAAACAGCTCACATACCCATTACCATGGTGACCCAGGCCCCAGGGAGATGTTATCTGTAGGAACCTAGTGGGAATCAGACAGCATTTTGCCTAAACACAGTTAACAATGGGTGGGAGAACAGCTAAAAGCTGTAATCAGTAATTGCAAAAAGGAAGAAAACTGAAGTTACTAGCTACTTAATCATCAATGGCTGTTTGCCAGTTTCATTTGCATGTTCTTAAAGGGATGTTCATTTGCCAAAATAAAATCTCGAAGTGCTGTTACTTGAAACAGTAACAGACTGAAGTGAAGAGATCCTGGCAGTTTAGGAGGTGAATATGTTCGGGCAGGGTCATGATAAGTGACACGCTGAGTAGCTATCTCATCATTTACTGCCTGAGAATTTTGGACTTTGTGTTTTCTAGTTCTTATTGTTGCTGCTGTAGTCCTTTTGTTTTTACAGTTTTGTCTCTTCTCCAACTTTTGAACCCTGAAGAGTGTATGTATTTCCAAATCTCTTTATCTCCCTCCCTCCCCAGCTTTTATAGAAAAGACAGCTGTATGAAGGGGAGGGTTTTTTAACATTACGTTTTAGTGAAATTGGTCATTTTACTTTTTAATAACAATTTTCTTTTTTTCCGCAGAGCTAAATTTAAAGAGGAGCAAAGACCTCTAAAAAGTCATTTGGAGACATCTCTAAAATACTTGTAACTGTGTACAAGCAATTAAAGAGATATTGACCCCCAGCAAAACTAATTGAATAATTGAGGCAGGTTTATGTGTGTGTCATCAGTTCTATCCAGAAGCAGAAGAATCTTCCTCTGAATTTAAGGATTGTGTACATTTAATGAGGATGACTTTTCAATTTAATTTCAGTATAGAAGACCATCTGGAAAATGAATTAACACCCCTTGGAGGTGGAACTTTGGCCTTGGATTCCTCAGAAGAGTCTTTGGTCTCAGAAAGCCAAAAAGGTAAACATAGGGACAAAAAATGTTCTACAGAAGAGTTTGACTTGCCTCGGGATCCTTCGGGGGAACCTAAGTCAGTGAGAAATGCAGCTGTCTTTCAAGACACAGTCAGCTCACTCAGTGTAGCTAACAGTTCAAGTAACTTGGAGCCGTATGAAAAACAGCTTTGCTTGAGAATTGCCAAAGAGCATGCTATGCCTAAAGATTTAAAGAAAGTGTTAGAAAATAAAGTCATCGAAATGTTACCAGGTCTCCAGCGTGTTAACATATCAGTAGTGAAAACCATCTTGTTGAAAGAGAACTTCCCTGGAGAAAACATCGTTTCAAAAAGCTTTTCTTCTCACTCTGATCTGATTACAGGTGTTTATGAAGGAGGCTTAAAAATCTGGGAATGTACCTTTGACCTCCTGGCTTATTTCACAAAAGCCAAAGTGAAATTTGCTGGGAAAAAAGTATTAGATCTTGGCTGTGGATCAGGGTTGCTGGGTATAACTGCATTCAAGGGAGGGGCCAAGGAAATTCATTTTCAAGACTACAACAGTATGGTGATTGATGAAGTAACCTTACCTAATGTCGTGGCTAACTCCACTTTGGAAGATGAAGAAAATGATGGAAACGAACTAGATGTGAAAAGATGCAGGAAATCAAAAGTAGTACAAGATCTGTGTAAGTGCCGGTTCTTTTCTGGAGAGTGGTCTGAGTTTTGTAAGCTTGTACTAAGCAGTGAAAAAGTCTTTGAAAAGTATGATCTCATTCTCACCTCAGAAACCATTTACAATCCAGATTATTATGGTACGTTGCACCAAACTTTTGGTAGATTGTTAGATAAAAATGGACGGGTACTTTTGGCCAGCAAAGCACATTATTTTGGTGTAGGTGGAGGTATTCATCTCTTTCAGAAGTTTATAGAAGAAAGGAATGTATTTGAGACTAGAACACTCGAAATAATTGATGACGGACTAAAGAGGTTCCTAATTGAAATGACTTTTAAGTCCCCCAGATAATGTCCCCTGAGTATCCTAAATAAACCGAATAACCAAAAATGTGCTTTGAATGTTCCAATTCTGCTTTGATATTATTTTTCTCTGAAATTGTGACGTTTGTTTAGTTTTCTTTATCTAAATAATAGGCCAGCTGTATTAACAACCTTGTACTTGCTGGGTGAGACAGAAAATAGTGTCCCTGAGCATTTGATGAGATTTCCTAGGAAATCATTTTATGGGAAAGTTTTCTGTTTTCCACCCTCATTCTATTTGTCCTTTCTGCTACCCTTGACATTTTGTAACATTTTCCCCAGAAAAACCTGCCATTTCTTCTCTCAAGTTTGAATTTCTTCCAAGTCTTTGTTTGTTTCTATTTATATGAGTTGTTAAGCCATGCCATGAATTCTAAGGGCATAAGTATGTGTCACTAAATGGTAGTGAACTTAAAATATTAGATTGAAGGCCTTAGGTAACTAGGAATAAGTTTTTGTTTTGTTCTATTTTATATTCATTTATCTCATAGTAAGAAGTGGAATGCTGTGCAGTGGAAGCCACATTGAGGTGGAGGAAATAAAGGAGAATCCTGATAGAGAGTATAAAAGTGATACAGAATACTTAATTGTGCTTATGGTTCACCCTTGTAGCCAAGTAAGTAGGAGACCTGAGGGTCTTGGTAGAAGGGGAAAGGATAGGAAAGGAGAATTCCAGAGTATAGACTCCTCACTAGTTAAATAACAGGAAAGAGAAGGGGAGAAAAAGTATTTTGATTCTGGTGCAAAAATTGTCACATTTAACATCTGAAATTGGGATCTGCCTTCTTATCTATAACTGTAGTATAATGGGCAGTATTTTTGTCTTTCTTAGAGGTGCCTAAAATAATGGTACAACTTGGAGTCAGTGAAATGTGATATGTACTGGACATCTGTTAACTAGGCACTTTGTATGGTGTCTTGCTTAATATTTATAACCTATGAGGTATGTATATTTCCATTTTAATAATGATCATATAGCTAATAGTTTTCAGCATTTATTATATTCAGGGCAGAAGAGGTTTACACATACTAACATTTAATATTCATAGTAGCCCTGAGTTAGGTTATAATTACTATCTCCCTTTCATAGATAAAGAAACTGAGACTCAAGGAAGTAACTTGATCCCAATCACATTCCTCACCTTGAACCAGAATCTGAATTGAAATCTTTTGAAAGACTTTATTCTTTTCATCACTCCAGTGGTCTTAACCTTACCAATGCCTGTTTTTCAACACAAATATTTCTTAGCACTCTTTTATTATTCTGAAATGAAAGTCATAGTTAAAGAAATTTATTGGGGCTGGCCCAGTGGTGCAGTGGTTAAGTTTGCAGATTCTGCTTTGGCAGCCCAGGGTTTGCGGGTTCGGATCCTGGGCACGAACCTATGTACCACTTGTCAAGCCATGCTGTGGTAGGCGTCCCACATATAAAGTAGAGGAAGATGGGCACGAATGTTAGCTCAGGGCCAGTCTTCCTCAGCAAAAAGAGGAGGATTGACAGCAGATCTTAGCTCAGGGCTTATCTTCCTCAAAAATAAAAAAAAATTAAGGGGCCGGCCCAGTGGCACAGCAGTTAAGTTCGCGCATTCCACTTCGGCAGCCCAGGGGCCACTGGTTCAGATCCCGGGTGTGCACATGGCACCGCTCATCAAGCCATGCTATGGCAGGTGTCCCACATACAAAGTAGGGGAAGATGGGATGGAGGCGGAGCAAAATGGCGGGGTGAGCTGACCCAGGATTCTCTCCCCTCCAAAATACAACAAAAGATTGGAAGAACTGAATTTCAGAGAATAAACATAATGCCAGCTCGTTAGAGACCTACAATACCAAGAAGGCGGAGATCATAACCTTGCTTACACCCTCGGAGGCGCTGGAACAGTAGGAGAGGACATCGCTCCCTCCCCTAGAGTCTGCCATCGCTGCGGGCGGGTCGGGAAGGAGCGGGGGAGGGGCCGCGCGACCGGGGGATCATCCAGGACTCCTGCCACTGATTCAGTGGAGACCCGCTGACGGGGGGAGAGCTTCCGTCTGTGGGGACCCCATAAATCAAGGGCCTTGGGAGACCAGAGAGCAGAACTGATCTGAACCCAGACCAGCATGTGTGAGTAACAGCCCCTCCCCCTGGCAAAGCCAGTGGACGCAGCCATCTTGCCCCGAAGGCGGAGAGCTAACATGCTGCTCTCGACCCCCATCTAGTGGCGACAGGCTGTAACTGCAACTGAATTCTACCACCATGAGAATAAACCGCTCCTCTACCGTCCAGCAATTTATAAAAGCCCCAGACCAGAAGGAAAACAATGAAAACACAGAATTAAGTCCTGAGGACTTGGAATTAGGTAAACTAAGTGATAATGAGTTCAGAGCAGCTATAATCAAAAAACTCAATGAGGTAGAGAGAAAGATAGAGAAACAAGCCGAGTTCTGGAGTTACTTCACAAAAGAGATTGAAATCATAAAGAAGAATCAAACAGAATTACTTGAGACGAAAAACACAATGGACCCAATAAAACAGAATACGGATGCCCTGAATGCCCGTGTAGACAACATAGAGGAGAAAATTAGCATAATCAAAGATAGGCTGAATGGTGCCAGACAGAGGAAGAAAGAGAACTAAGAATTAAAAAAATGAGGAAAATCTTTGAGAGATAATGGATTCAATGAGGAGTAAGAACATAAGGATCATAGGAATTCCCAGGAATATGGAAAAGGAAAATGGAGCAGAAAGTGTGCTTAATGAAATTATTGAAGAGAACTTCCCAAATCTAGGGATCGACAGAGAAATGTGTGTAGAGGAGGGTTTTAGATCTCCTAGATTTGTCAATGTAAAAAGACCTACTGCAAGGCACATAGTAGTAAAGTTGGCAAAAAGGAAAGATAAGGAGAGAATACTCAGGGAAGTAAGAAAAAAAAAGAGAATAACCTATCAAGGAGCCCCTATCAGACTGTCAGCAGAATTCTCTACAGAAACCCTACAAGCTAGGAGAGAATGGAATGACATATTCAAAGCTTTAAAGGATAAAAATCTTCAGCCAAGAATACTCTTATCCAGCAAGAATTTCCTTCAGATATGAGGGAGAAATTAAATCTTTTCCAGACAAACAAAAGTTAAGGGAATTTGTAATTAAAAGCCCTCCATTACAAGAAATCCTTAAGAAGGCGCTCATACCTGAAAAAAGAAAAAAGGGAGAAAGGGGACACAATCCACAGACTAGGGAGACCGATGGATAGAACCAGAACATGATAGCAAATATTCAATTATAGCATTAGGGTAAAGGTAAGGAAACTACCAAAACAAGGACGATCTTAGCACTCTAACTACCAATTAATAAGACGAGTTGGAATAAAAATGAAAATACTTATTTAGGAGGGGAAGAGCAAAGGGTCTAAATCAGTATTGGTCAAGTAAGTAAGAGACCACCAGAGAATAGACTATATTATACACGAGATTCTAAATACAAACTTCAAGGTAGACACTAAAATAAAGTACAGAACAGAGTCACAAATCATAAATAAGGAAAAATCTAAGAAACCCAGCATAAGAAATTGCAGTATTAAATGGGTAGTCTAAAGCAAACAGGAAAAGAAATGCAGGAAAACAAGATAATGAGCAACAGATTAACAGCATTAAGTCCACATGCATCAATAATCACTCTCAATGTGAATGGATTGAACTCTCCAATAAAAAGACACAGAATGGCAAAATGGATTAAAGAACACGATCCAACAATTTGTTGCCTCCAGGAAACACACCTCAGCCCCAAGGACAAACACAGACTCAGGGTGAAGGGGTGGAGGACAATACTTCAAGCAAATAGCAAGGAAAAAAAGACAGGTGTTGCACTTCTCATATCAGACCAAGTGGATTTCAAAATAAGACAGGTAAAGAGAGATACAGAGGGACAATATATAATGATCAAAGGGACACTTCATCAAGAAGAAATAACGCTTATAAGTATCTATGCACCCAACACAGGAGCACCAAGATTCATAAAGCAACTATTAACAGACCTAAGGGAAGATGTTAAAAACAACACAATAATAGTAGGGGACCTCAACACCCCACTCACATCAATGGACAGATCATCCAGACAGAAAATCAACAAGGAAATAGTGGAGCTAAATGAAAAACTAAAACAATTGGACTTAATAGACATATATAGATCACTCCACCCTGAAAGAGCTGAATACACATTCTTCTCAAGTGCACATGGAACATTCTCTAGGATAGACCATATGTTGGGAAACAAGGCAAGCCTCTACAAATTTAAAAAAATTGAAATAGTAACAAGCATCTTCTCAGATCATAGTGCTATAAGGCTAGAAATTAATTACAAGAAAAAAAGCTGAGAAAGGCACAAAGATGTGGAGACTAAACAACACACTACTGAACAAGCAATGGATCATTGAAGAAGTTAAAGAAGAAATAAAAAAATACCTGGAAACAAATGAAAATGATAGCATGCCATACCAACTCATATGGGATACAGCAAAAGCTGTATTAAGAGGAAAATTCATCGCAATACAGGCACATCTTAACAAACAAGAAAAATCCCAAATAAGCAACCTTAAAGCACACCTAACTGAACTAGAGAAAAAAGAACAAATGAAGCCCGAAGTCAGCAGAAGGAGAGAAATAATAAAAATCAGAGCAGAAATAAATACTATTGAAACGAAAAAGGCAGTAGAAAGGATCAATGAGACAAAGAGCTGGTTTTTTGAGAAGATAAATAAAATTGACAAACCCCTAGCCAGACTTACAAAGAAAAAAAGTGAGAAAGCTCAAATAAGCAAAATCAGAAATAAGCGAGGAGAAATAACAACAGATTCTGCAGAAATACAACAGATTATAAGAGAATACTACAAAAAACTATATGCCAACAGAATGGATAACCTAGAGGAAATGGATAAATTCTTGGACTCCTACAATCTCCCAATGCTCACTCAAGAAGAGGCAGACAACTTGAACAGACCAATCACAAGGAAAGAGATTGAAACAGCAATCAAAAACATCCCAAAGAATAAAACCCC